CATACCTACTCAAGATCAAGAAAGTGGTAGATTCCTTAGCAGCTTGTGGCTCATCAGTTGATTCTGAAGATCACATAGAAGCTATACTTGATGGCTTGAATGAAGATTATGATTCGTTTGTCACTTCTGTTATTTCAAGGACAGATCCTTACACGGTTGGAGAAATTGAAGCTCTCTTGATGGCTCAAGAACAAAGATTAGAGAGGCATAGAAAAAATGTAACAAATACTCTTCAAGCCAACATGGCTCATCTTCAAATGAGAAGATCCAGTAATTCTTCAAACTTCAGCAGAGGAGGTTATACTCAGAATAGAGGAAGGTTCTATGGAAATAGAGGACCAAATCAATTCTACAGAGGGAGAGGAGGTCGATTCAATCATAATAACAGACCTCAATGTCAAGTCTCTGGCAGATATGGTCATTTGGCTTTGGATTGCTTTCACAGTTCAATCAGCACTTCACAGGTTCAAACAACCAAAGTCAGTATAGCCAGAACAACAACTCGAGTTTGCAGGCAAATATAGCTGTCACAAATCAGAATGGTGGAAGGCAACAAGATGAAAGTGCCTATGATTTCTTTTCAGTAACTGACAGCAGCTGGTATCCAGATTCTGGAGCCACTAACCACTTCACACCAGATCCTCATAACCTGCACAACAAAATACCATACAGTGGTCAGGATGCTGTTCAAGTTGGTAATGGCTCTAATCTAAAAATCAAAAGCATAGGACACTCATTTTTGCATTCATCTGTTAATTCTTCAGTCTTTCAACTATCCAATTTGTTACATGTACCTGGCTTATCTAAAAATCTATTGAGTGTATCTCAATTTGCAAGAGAACACAATGTCATTTTTGAATTTCATGCTGATGCGTGTTATGTGAAATCTCAGGCTACCAAGGAGACTCTTCTCCAAGGCAGACTTAAGAATGGCTTATATGCTTTTGATGGAACTTCAAAGTCCAAGCATATTTCCTCTGCAGAAAATTCACATCTGAATAGCTCTATTTCTTCAATTCAGCACAAATATCCTACATGTAACCATACCTCTAGTATTTCAACCTTAAGTCTTTGGCATTCTAGGCTGGCTCATGCCTCTCTTGATACTGTAAAGTTGGTACTTAGACATTGTAAAATACCATATATAAATAAAACTGACTCAAAGCTTTGTTGTGCTTGTTGTATGGCAAAAATGCATCAACTCCATTTACCTACTACTACCACTGTCTATTCTCAACCTCTTGAACTAATCCTTTCAGACATATGGGGTCCAGCACCTATAGAGAGCACATCAGGTGCAAAATACTACATAATATTTGTTGATGCTTTCTCAAACTACACTTGGATCTATCCCTTAATAAATAAATCACAAACCTATGAAATCTTTGTTCAGTCCAAAACTATGGTTGAACTCCAATTTGACAGCAAAATAAAAGCCTTGCAAACAGACAATGCAAAGGAGTACCTTAAACTCACTCAATATCTAAAACAACAAGGTATTATCCAACGACTAACCTGTCCATATACACATCAGCAAAATGGAAAACCAGAGAGGAAACATAGACACATAGTGGAAACTGGATTGGCCCTACTAGCACAATCTCACCTACCCCAAAAATTCTGGGAGGATGCTTTCCTCACTGCCACCTATGTTATAAACCAATTACCTACACCCACTTTGAATCAACAATCACCTTTTGAGACTCTTTTCCACATTACCCCTGACTATTCCTTTCTAAAGACATTTGGTTGCAGTTGCTACCCTTACTTAAGACCCTATAACAAACATAAGATTGATTTTCGATCAGCCAAGTGTACCTTTATTGGGTACAGCGCTCACCATAAAGGCTATAAATGTCTAAGTCCAACTGGTCAAACTTTCATTGCTAGACATGTCTTGTTTGATGAAACTAGTTTTCCCTATCTTCTTAAGTCACCTAATCCCATCTCTATCCCAACACCTACTAGTCAGACTTCAAGTCCCATAATTCCAATAAGTCCCATAATTCCAGTAGGTCCTTTAATTCCAGTCAATTCACACACTACTCACACTAATTCCTCACTGCCTCTGAACCCGAATCCTACTATATCTCCTTCCACCAACTCTATATTGGGTCCCCCACCTATTCACTCGCCCAACCATCACTCCAACAGTACAAACTTGAGTGTTCCATTGCATGATTTTTTTGTTAGGACTACTAATTCTACTTGCAGGTCCTCTACTGATACACATCCTCCTCAAGCATCTGCTCATCCCATGACTACCAGGGCTAAAGCAGGCATCTTTAAACCAAAAGCCTACTTGGCAAGTCTAGAACCTACATCTACAGCTGCAGCTATTGCTCAGCCTCATTGGTTTAAAGCTATGCAAGAAGAACACTCTGCTCTTCTACGCAATCACACATGGGAACTGGTCCCTCTTCCTCCAAACAGATCTCCTATTGGCTGCAAATGGGTGTTTCGTACAAAGTTTAACCCAGATGGCACCATCCTTAAATATAAGGCTCGCCTTGTAGCTAAAGGCTTCCATCAAGAAGAAGGGTTTGACTATCAGGAAACCTTTAGTCCTGTAGTCAAGCCAACCACCATTCGTGTTGTCCTCACTGCTGCACTCTCGAAGAATTGGCCCATTCATCAACTGGATGTTAATAATGCCTTCTTGAACGGTGAGCTTCAAGAAGAGGTCTTCATGCAGCAGCCTCCTGGCTTCATTCACCAAGACAAAACACTGGTCTGTAGACTTACCAAAGCACTATATGGTCTCAAACAAGCACCTCGTGCTTGGTTTGAGAAACTCAGCAACACTCTCCATAGACTTGGCTTCACCACAACAAAGTGTGACTCCTCCCTGTTCATATCCATTACTCCAACCACCACTCTTTTTGTTCTAGTTTACGTTGATGACATCCTTGTCACTGGATCTTGTTCATCTGCTATCCAATCCTTAATTCATTCTCAGAATCAAGCCTTCTCCCTTAAAGATCTTGGACTTCTCCACTACTTCCTTGGTATAGAGGCCACAAAAACAACTTCTGGAGGATATCATCTTCATCAGTCAAAATATATTCATGATCTTCTTAAGAAAGCTAACATGCATGACTGCAAAACCATGCCTACTCCAATGATCTCCAGCTCCAAACTCTCTTCTCGTGATGGATCTCCTTATTCAGACCCTACACAGTACCGCTCCATAGTTGGTGCCCTCCAGTACGCTACAATCACTAGACCTGAAATAACCTTTAGTGTTAATAAGGTGTGTCAGTTCATGCACAAACCCTTAGACACTCACTGGAAGGCAGTCAAGCGGATCTTGCGTTACCTGAGTGGTACGGTGTCTCATGGCTTAGTCATCAATCCTTCCTCCAACTTCAACTTAGCTGCCTACTGTGACTCTGACTGGGGTTCGGATCTTGATGATCGTCGCTCCACCAGTGGCTTCTGTATCTTCTTTGGCTCCAACCTGGTTACTTGGTCTTCGAAGAAACAACATGTTGTCAGTAGATCTAGCACCGAAGCTGAATACCGGTGCTTGGCTGCTACTGTTGCTGAGCTCACCTGGATCCAGTCACTTCTTTCTAAACTTAGAATCACCATTCCACGTCCTCCTACCATCTACTGTGATAATATGTCAGCTGTTCTTCTCACTGCTAATCCCCTTTTTCACAATCGTACCAAGCACTTTGAGCTTGACCTCCATTTTGTACGAGAAAAGGTGTTAGCTAGGCAAGTATCAGTTCATCACGTACCTGCTCCTGATCAGCTAGCGGATGGGCTCACGAAGGCTATCTCCACTTCATCTTTCCATCAGTTCAAGTCCAAGCTGTGTGTCCTTGCCTCCAAGCCCACTCAGCTTGTGGGGGGATGACAGATATACTAAGGCCCAATGGCCCAATGGCCCATATGTATCCAAAACATAATTCAACAGAATTCTGTTAACCCAATTGTTAGTTAGTTATAAATAGTGAGTTAGCTATTATTAATAGATCTAAGTATAAATAGATCTCAAGTGTAACTGATCAATCAAGCTTTTCATAATTCACTTTTGCAATTACAGTTTCTTTCTCTTTCTTTCTCTCTCTCTGATACCTTTCAAATCATTCCTACTTATCATAATATATAGTTATTATTAATAGAATAAGAGCAATAAAATATCGAACTCATAACCATTTAATTTGATTCTAATATCATGTCAATCATTTCAACCAAAAAATTTAAACCGTTAGGTGAAAGCTAATTGATAATTTTATATTATATTTTCTGTAGTAGATGTTGATCTAAAGCTAATTGCTAAATTTGAATTTATGAAGAACTGCATCAATTTTATTCCTCATTTTTTGTAACAAGTGGTAAAAAATTAAACCAAATTGAACCTAACCGAATTGCATTTTTTTAACAAATTTTTAGAACTAAATTAATTTTATAAACCAATTTCAAAATTAAACCAAATCAAAAGAATTGATTTAAAAAATAGGTTCAGAAAAGGTTTTGCAAACTAGTTTGAAAAAAAAAATTCGATTCGGAAGAAAAAGAGATTTGGATCGAAACATACGCATCCTTAAATATCATGACGAGGGAAATTAACATGCTATTCAACATGTTTATAATAGAATGATAATAATAATAATAATAGAATGTAAAAAAAAAAAAAGCTTTCTAGCACTGTGCAGATTGTCGCAATATATCACTTCCTCAGCCTTCAATTTTATCATTTATCAACCATTAAATTCTGGAAATTAAGAAGGATGTATTCATTGATGAAGACGAGGCTTGAATTCGACATTTAATACACGGCTATTGAATCTTGAAAGAGAATACCACTAGCCATGATTTCTCCATGCAGCTTTCTATTTCAACCTTAAAGAGTATACACGCATATATATATATTAAAGCTTCCCTTCTTCCACCCTTCACAAATTAGGCCTCAACTAACTCCAATCCCACCTCACAGCTCTCTAACATTAGAAAACCATTCAAAATATTACTTCATTCATTTGGCCATCATGACTCATCTCTGTAAACTACTAATAACTCTGTTAGCGCTCATAGCCACAGTACTCCCCTCACCAACCCAAGCTTCTCCCATAGACTCATACCATGAACCTGCACCTGCACCTGCTTCACCTCCTGAAATCAACAACGATGACGACCCTCTCTCTCCGCTATCACACTCTCCTTCTCCTTCATACCCTTCTGATGATGAAGAAGACATGGCTCCAGAATACCAATACCCTTCTCCTCCATCTTACGCCCCAGGGATAGAAGAAGACTACCCTTATGCTGAAAACCCTTTTCCTTCTCCTTCAGAGGCACCTTACTTTGATGATATCATGGCTCCTGAACCTGATGCAGATGATGAGTTTTATTATTCTCCATATGAAGCTCCTAGTCCTACAGAGTCCACGTACTCTGCTGGGGTATCTTATGACGCTGCTGATATAGCTCCCGCTACTCCACCGGTAGTTCCCTTCAGTTATAGTGCTGAAGACGATAGTGGTGGTTTCAGTGATGAAGAGGAGTACCCTGAATTGAAGAAGGAGAATAGATCAGTCATTGGATTTGTAATGGGGGCTATATGTTTGGTTGGATTGGGAGGTTTGGTTTACAAGAAGAAGAAGAAGAATCAGAAACGCGACCACCCAATGTACGTACAGTTGTCAAAAAAGATGGATGTTTGACATTGACATGGAATCATGCAATTTTTAATATGCTCTATCTAATATCTATGTAACTTTTGGTCTATTTAGCAAGCTTTTGGTATTTTACCTTCAGTTTCTGTTTTCTGCTGATATTTTAGGGGGAAATTAATATATTGTTGCTATTATGCAAACTTTATTTTACTTTGATATACATTTTTTTTTAAATTGTCTTTCTTATTATATTCACATTTTACCATATATTTATTTTATTGTGAAATGAGATTATTTTGTTAAGAGTGAGGGTAACAAGATATCAACCAAGAACAAAATAATACTCAAAATACTAATAAAGCTCTGCATAATTAGTAGATAGTTGGATCCCCGATGGTGTGTATGGAAAAAGTTTCGTTGGTAAAGGTAAATTCCACTTCAGTTATCGCTACGTTTCGAAAGGATTAATCTTTAGGACTGAGGAATACTTGGAGGAAACTCAAAAAAAAAAAAAATACACAAAATAGCCAAAGTATTTTTGTAAAAAAGGTAAAATATAGATTTTTAATGGTGTTAATGATGAACTTGGATAAAAAAAATTATAAGGGAATAATATAAAGAAAAAATATAGGGTATTAGTGATTTAAACTTTGAAGAGAAACCCCAAGAAAATATTTGCACTTTTACAAAAGTAAAAATAAAAATAAATGCGCAAGAAGTCACTTTTCAATCTCCTAAAAATGACACCACTTATTTTTCAAATAAAAAGAAAAAATGACGCCACTTGAATCGAGTTTTTTCGCTAACCTCTTAGCGCATGTCAATGAATTCTTACCCCGGAACACAGACAAGGCTAAACGAGTTGAATCATTGTAGATTTGAACAGCTGTCAATTTGTTATGATAGGTTGAATTAGAATTAAGATCATGCCCAACACCAACAATTTAATAATTAATTATAATGTCATTTTTTAGTACTAATTACAATAAGAGTTTGTCTACTCTCAGCTAAGATACAAATGATGGAACCCATCACTAAAAATAAAATAAAAATAGCAGCATAATTATTGAAGTGTCTATAACATAAGATAATAGTCTCTTACAATATGAGACTATTATTTTCCTTACAATAATGTATTATTACAGTGACAAAGACTACTTTTAATTATTCAATAAATTATTGGTATACAAAAAGGAAAATATTTTTCTTATATTGCAGGAAAATAGTTATTTTATGTTGTAGAAATAAAATTACAAGTGAGATTCACATGTAAGAGGAAAGAGAAAAAAGAGTGGTGAGACCCAACCCTTTTTTGTATACGTAAGAAAGTTATTTATCTCATGTAAAATGAGATAAACATAATCCTTAAAAAAATAGGTCGATTATACTAACTAATGAGAAATTTTATAATTTTTATTAATAAATTAATTATCGTTGATTTTTATAAATTATAATGATTATTATTTATTAAAAATTAATAATTAATTAATAAAAATATCTAATAAATTATAATTATTAGATTGATAAAAATTAATAAAAATTAATTTAATAATAAAATTATAAATTATTTAAACAAAGATTATAGTTATTACTTCTTTTTCTTAGTACTAAATCGTAACTGTTGATTTTCGTCAATCTAATTGTTATAATTTATTAAAAATTAATAATTAACTAATAAGTATGAACCAATAAATTATAACCGTTGGATGGACAAAAATCAACACTTACAATCTAATAATAATAAATAGTAAAAAAAGAAATAAATATAATCTCCCGTAAATATAAGCTGCCCCGTGAAAATAAAAAATAAAAAAAAATAGGCAAGGGTTGTTTGCATTGTACTAACACGGAAATCCAGTTTTCGTGAGACAGCGAGTGGAGCAGAGCAAAGTTTTCCAGATCTTCGGGTCTCTCTGAATCTAACACCCAATAGGTTCGGTATGTTCTCATCTCTCTCTCTCTCTCTCCCCAACACATCAGATCTGCGATTTCAATGGCAATGCAACCGTTTTCGGATTTGTTGCGCTTTTGCGACTACCCTCATCCTTTCTTCGTTTTCACTCCCGATTCTCACGAGTTCCTTTTCTTGTCTACCATTTTGAATTTCTCTAGGGCTTTCTGTACATATACTCAATCATTGAATTTTTATCTGCGTCTGATCCATTTTTTCGGTTTGGTACTTATCGTCATGGGAGGGAGGTTGTGCTGCTACTAATTTGTTTGAAATTCTTGCATCGGGTTTGATTAACTAGTTCAGATTATTAGCGTTGGTATTGCTAACTCTTCATTCTTTGATCTTTAACAAAAGTTTCCCTTTGTTTATGTTGCCTTTCGATTGGACACGGTTGGTATTTTGGTGCGTTTGTTTGGTCCTTTATGGCTTTCAGCGCGATGTAACTGTCGTAAAAATAAAAATGAGTAAATACCTTTTTTTTTTTTTTTTTGTCCTAATCAAATTTCACGATGTTGCTTTTTAGTCCCTAGCAAATAAAAAAGCTCATCGTGGTATTTAAGAAATTCAAAATAGACCCGTTTAGTTGAAATAATGGTCCCTCACAAATTCAAAAAAGACTTATATTAGTCCTCAAAAGTACTAAAATGATTTGAATTTTTTAGGAACCACAATGTACCTTTTTATTTGATAGGGACTAAAACGGGTCTCGAGAAGTTTTCTGAAGACCAAAAAGGGTATTTACTCTTCAAATTACAAATTAAAAAAAAAAAGACTAAAGAAAATTGTTTAGACCTTCATATTTCAGTTGCTTGGCATAATATTAAAATTGGATCACTCCACCAAGGGAGAACAAAAGGAAATGGATAGATACAGTTGTGTATAAAATTGAAATGTGTTATTAACATACTGTTAGTGTTGTTGTGTTGTTGTTGTTGTTGCATGCTTGCACATTTTATCATTTTTATGTCATGTCATCCTATATAATTCTTGTAATGATTTTTCTCCTCCTCCTCTGGCGAGAGAAGAAAATTATCCAGTGGATCAATTATTTAATTTGTTGAATTTAATGTCTTGGTGTTACATCATGAAACTAGTTCTCTTTCATCACGGTGGCTTGTTTGCCAAAGAAATCATTTGTGTTGCTCAAGGACTTGCTTTATGTTTACTTTCTAGTAGTTTCATTTAACAAATATGTTAATAGTTACAAATTGATTGCATCACAGAATGGCATCCAACAGGAGTCAAGGTGGAATTCAACAGCTGTTGGCTGCTGAACAAGAAGCTCAACGGATTGTAAATGCTGCGAAAAATGGTATAGTTGTTATTCTCTGTTTTCCATTTCTGCCTGTTTGTTTACCATGACCCCATCCGATTCTTGGTATATTTATGTGTTTTCACTAAAAAAATTTCTTCTGCTCTCAATCCCTTTTGCGTTGGTCTCTTCATTTTCACATGGAAGACTAAGTTTTTTTATTTTTTATTTTTTACATGGGCATGGGTTTGCTTGTGTTCTGAGATATAGCTATGAAATATGATAACTCCCTCTTCTCCCTCATCTCTTTTAATACTGTTTTTGACTTTTGTATTCTTACTCCTATAACTTTTGTATTCTGGATCTCTACTGTTAGAAAAATTGAATAGGCTGAAACAGGCCAAAGAAGAGGCTGAAAAGGAAATTGCTGAATATAGAGCTCAGTTGGAGTACGAGTTCCAAAAGAAAGTGTCAGATGTAAGTCTATGATTCACTATAGTAATAAATGCAACTGTTATACTACCCCTCTATCTTGTTCTAAGTTTGTGTGCATTTTTTCCTATGAATACAGAGTAGTGGAGATTCTGGTGCTAATGTCAAGCGACTTGAGCAGGAGACTGATGCAAAGATCCATCACCTGAAAACTGAGGCTGCGAGAATATCGGAGGATGTTGTTGCCATGCTCCTCAAGTATGTAACAAGTGTGAAGAATTAGATACCTTGATTTATTGGTGCAGCGAACTCTTTAAGTTATGCTGAATATTATGTTGTGTTTATTGTTGACTCTAGATTCTGGTGCGGATAAGTTTCGTGCTTTGGTTATAATACTTGGTACCTTGCTGCCTTGTATTCAAAATAATTTCAAGCTTGTTAAAATAAACAGTTTAGAATTTATAGACATGCCTATATGTAGCATCGATTCAATAGAGGTGTATGAGAATCACTGTCAGAGTATATCGGGTAAAGCCGGAATGAATGGTTTATTCTTTTATAAACACGATCCTATTCTGTTGCGAAAAATGCATGCTTCTGTATCCCTGTTCCCTGAAGCGTGCAGCTTAGCGAGAAAATATGATTCCCAGCTGATGTGCAAGCTAGCGAGGAAGAGGTTGAATGTACACATCTTCTTCTGAACCTACTCGTTGGACTTGCTCACTTTAACGACCAATCCAGCTAGCTGTAGCACAAAATAATACTCCTCTGGTCTTTGCTTGGCTTGAATTTTGGACTTCTTTGATTCATCAACATTCTGATTAACAATTTAAACCTGAAATCGATACTTTTTTAAATTAGAATCATATCAGACTAAGTCTTTGCATTTGATAATATATAGTATGTCTTTGACCAGTTACAATGATATTTATCATAATGTTAGCCTTAAAAACATAATATGTTTGATACTTAACATATTCTTCTACCAAATCTTGGCTTTTCGAAGGTGTCTGGTCAATGCAGTTTCCAGATATTAACGTGAGCAAGAGATTGAAGATTTATTTGGAAATAATATTGGATGCAATGAAAAATGTGGATAAAATGAAATAGGAAAATCAAAATTTACCTTATTTGTTATATAGGAATACTATCTTTTATTTTTGTTTTTCGGTTCGTGAGATTTCATGGAGATGGTAATTTATCCCATTTCAAGGTCAACACATGCCACAAAATTAGCAAGAATTGGACAAGACCTTTGAGTTGAAGAAGACCAATCTTATTATTTTAATCAACCTTTATTAGTTACTATCATCATTTAATAATGTTTTAATACGTTACTATTTAACAACTCTATAAAGGAAATGATTTTGATTAAGGGTGTTCATCAACCAATCCAAATCGATTCAAACTGCGGTGACCGAACCGAAAAATCGATAACTGAATAAACCGAAAATCGAAAAACCGAAAACCGAAAAAATCACAAATTTTAATTGGATTGGATCGGTTTTTGGATGGGTTGATGAAAACCGATCCAATCCAAATCGATCTAATATATTAATTTTCCTCTACCTACTTGAGTCTTTTCCCAATTATAGCCCAAAAATTTCTAAACTCAAGACCCATTGGGTATCAACTAAACCTAAGAAAAAATCTAGTCACATCTCATCAACAAAATTTTATCTCTGTAGAGCTTCATATCTCGTTGCCAAAAAAAAAATTATATTATAATGTACTAATGCTTTTGTATTTAAAAAATAATAATTTACAAAGCCAATATATACAAAAGATGTTATTTGCATAATAATCATAAAATAAATTTTAGGATTTTCAAAAAACCGAAAACCGATCCAATCCAAACTGAAAAAAATTGGATTGGATCGGATCGGATTTGAAAAAAAATCCAAACCGAATGGATGATTATATAATAAAACCGAAGAGATTGGATCAGATGATTTTTGCTTCCAAAACCGATCCAATCCAGACCGCGAACACTCCGAATTTTGATTAACACGTTAACTGTGCTCGGTAAAACCGGCTATAAACTGCGGAAACACATTATTATATTTGTTACATAGTAATATGCACAGTGGAATATGTTTCTTATATGAGATAAAATTGTATGATACATGTAAGTGGATGAAATCCATTAAAAAAAAGAGAGAGGAAAAAAAAAAAAGTTTCATGAACTCAAATTTTGAATATACATGAGATAAAATTATCTCATATAACATGAAACATATATTTTTTATATATAAATTTAATTTAATCGGTGAATCAATAATTCCCTGCTTGAATTATTGATGCACTGTTTCCACCGAGTCAATTATTTATCCGAGATTAATAATATTAATTTTAACAAAGGAAACGCACCAGCATCCACGTATGGTCGAGAAATTCATAGAATAGACAAATTTTCTTGCCCTTTGATCATTATTAGAAATTTTAAAGTTACATCAGTTTTATATAAAACTTTCTCGCTAACTTTATTATCAACATTATTTTTTGTCTCTATTTTTTCTTCCTTACCATCAATAGTTCACCATTCTATGTGAGTCATATGAGTCTCACATTATGCACCGGCGGACCCACTTGCGGGCAAATGCCCGCAAGTGCGGTCATAAGAATTTTTACTTCAATTTTTTTTTAGTTGTTGGTACTTATTTGTCACTTGGTTCAATATATATATTAAGAGTAAATACTCTTTTAAGTCCCTAACAAAAAATATGGTCTCCATTTTAGTCCCTTACAAAAAAAAGTCTCGAGGTCCCTAAAAATCTTAAAGTGGATCAATTTAGTTAAAATTGTGATCCCTCATAAATTAAAAAAAGACCTACATTAATCCCTCAAAAAGATCAAAATGAATCCACTTTGAATTTCATATGGATGAGGTGACTAATCTTTTTTATAATGGACTAAAGTGTGAATCGAGTTTTTTGTTAGGGACCAAAAAAAATATTTATTCTTATATTAGTTAGTAACGTAGTAATGTACGGAGATGATTAAAATAATGTAGTAACGCAAATTGATTAAAGAGAAAACTTAATCTTTTTTCCCTATCACGTACTCAATCCTTTGTTTCCTTTTTCATTTTTATAAAAAGAGAAGATTGATTGTAAAAAAATTCGGAGGCGCTGCCCTCGAATTCCCACCATTAAACGTGCGGACATAAAAAATTATTCCTGGGTCCGCCACTGACATTATGTATCATCTTCCTTAATTTTATATGATTACCTTGTTGAATATTTAATGTCTCGGAATAAGAAAACTCACTTCAGTAAATAATAACTGTTATATTTCTCCTCACATCACATGCATGTCAAGATACTTCATAAATTGATATCAGAAACCAATAAAAAAAAAACTTTAATTCTCTCTAGATAACTTATCTATGGTACTTGTAGAAATATTTTTCTGTATATAAAATCATTAATATAGCTTCATTCAATAGTTAAACCTGATATATCATCTTCTTGCGAGGGGACATATTAGAGATATATAAAATTATTAATGTAACCTCATCCAACAACTTAAGGTTTTGGGTTGAATTAATTCTTTACATTTTTCATTTCAGTATTCTACATCTGCTATGAAGACATAAAAAAATATAATTCGTATTCGAAATGCCTAGCTTTTTCATTTTATTTGCGGAATTGTTAATTCTAATATATATTTTGAATATTGTTATTATGTAATTATACCTAATATGAAATTATTTAATTCTACTTTATCTGATCTTATTGTGTTATTATGTAATTATACCTAATATGAAATTATTTAATTCTACTTTATCTGATCTTATTGAACTCTGATACTAGATATAATTTAATACCCTACTTTATCTGATCTTATTGAACTATGATACTAGATATAATTTAATACCTTTTACATATTTGACATATTGGGGTCTTTTACAAAAGAGTTTTGTTAGTTTTACACCAAAACCTGATATCTTCTTTTTAATGAGAAAAGAAAAGAAAAAATGAAACAAACTTTCCAATACCTACTATCTCTTCTTCTTCTTTTTCATTTTTTTCGACAGTATAAGGTTTTAATACAAAGAATAGGTGTAGAGGGATAACATTTGTATATACGAAATCCCTTATCAAAGCACCGGTTTGGAACTGGATGGCTCAGGTCCACGCTGATGATAGGTGATCCATGCACGAAAAAGGAGACGAGCCCATTGCGCATGTTTGGGCTAAAACATGGGAATATTTAATAAACTCGTTTTAAGCGTTTGAGGCAATATGTTATATTCAATGGTTCCTCTCGCTTGTTTTAACATAATTATGTCATGAGAAAAATTTCAGTCATACTAATATATAACTATATGTTCTAAGAACTCACAAGTTAGAATAACACGTACGAGTATCTATTCCGGTTATATTCCCAGTTCCAAGACGAGTGCTATGGATTTCAGGCCTTTCTATCGTTACTCAATAATTTATTGCAGTTAATCTGCTGGTCGGTTCTCCGTATATCTCTTTTGACTTTTAACATGACTATCATGCTTTTAACTTTTAAGTACCAATCACTGTTCTGCTTTCACGAAAATAAAAGAGGACAAGTCACCTCTCATTACAAATCATGCTGTTTTGCTTTTGCTAAATAGTGTGTCTCCACAATTTATTGCGTTAACTGTGCCATGTTCCCGAAAGCACTGGCCCTTTTTGTGGAAATTAGAGTAACTCAAGGGGATTATCTGCTTTTTACATGTTTGAAATTAGAAGAGATCAATGTGAATGTGCATTTTCTTTTTAGAGTTTTAGGGAGGCATGGTTCGTCTAGCTTGTTAAATTAGTACTATGGCAAGAGAACCGTGGTGTTTCAATTACCTTAGTACCATAATGCATGTGGCTATTTGCACAAAACCTGCTAGATCAGCGGAAACAAACATGAAACAGAGACTATATATTCTGCAATTTGAAGGGTAACAACTAACAAGGCTTTTCCAAACACAGACGTTCCAAAAATATCAGTTCTCGTGGAAAAGGAAATAAATGACAATTAGGTGTTCACACCTTCAATCATGCAAAACGAGTAATATAGCTCCTATCTCATACAATTACACTTTTTTTATTTTTTTTAATATTTTGTCTAGTCGACTATTGTCCACAAGATTCTGGGTATGGAAAATCTGCAGCTTTATTTGCAACTTGACCAGGGATGGTTCTGGTCCTACTTGAGATTCCTGTCTTACTAGAAAGGTACCCTCTATTTTAGCCACTCTGCTTTTGCATGTGCTTTTGTCTGTAACTTTTGTTATGCAAATCAGGAGCAACCCGGGGATGTTTCATTATTTCTACCAAGTATGCAATTCATTCAGCAGTTTACTACACTTTTTAAAGGGTTTTATAAGAGTTATGTTGTAGGAAAAGTGATTCTGTAATGTTATAGAGATTCGTTTTGCGTGCCTTAATTTTTTATTTATTTTTTTGTTTTAAAAAGTGTGGGCCCCACAAAATGTTGTGAGGGTAGGAAAGTTTGTTGTGTTATGTTATGTTAAAGGATAAAATGAAAACCCCTCTTTAAAACCTTTAAATCAGTCTTT